CATCCAACAAAGGACTAATATCCAGAATCTATAAGGATCTTAAATAAATGAACATGAATAAAGCAAATAACATTAAAAGTGGGCAAAGGACATGACCAGATGCCTCTTTTTTAAATTTTAGATACAGAAGGTACACACGGGGGTTTGATACATGGATGTATTGTGTGATGCTGAGGTTTAGACTTCTAACAATGCTGTTGCCAAAGCAGTGAACATAGTACTTGATAAGTTTTTCAACCCTTGCCCCCATCCCTCCTCACTTAAGTGTATATTGTTCCCATCTTTGTGTCTATGTGTACTCAGTGTATAGCTCCCACTTATAAGTCAGAACATGTGGTATTTCGCTTTCCATTTCTGTGTTAATTTGCTTAGGATGATGGCCTCCAGCTGCTTTCATGTTGCTGCAAAGGACATGATTTGATTCATTTTTATGGCTGCATAGCATTCCATGGTGTATATGTACATTTTTAAAACCCAATCCACTGCTGATGGGCACCTTGACTGATTCCATGTCTTTGCTGTTGTTAATAGTGCTGCAATAAACATACAAGTGCAGGTGTCTTTTTGGTAGAATGATCTACTTTCCTTTGGTAGGATACCCAGTCATGGGATTGCTGGGTCGAAAGGGACTTCTATTTTTAGATCTTTGCAAAATCTCCAAACTGCTTTCCACAGGTGCGGAAATAATTTACATTCCCACCAACAGTGTGTAAGTGTTCCCTTTTCTCCACATCTTTGCCAACATCTGTTTTTTGACTTTTTAATAATAGCCATTCTGACATGAGATGGTATCTCGTCGTGGTTTTAATTTGCATTTATCTGATGACTAGTAATATTAAGCATTTTTTGTTGTTGTTGTTGTTTTGGCTGCTTGTACACCTTTTTGGAAGTGTCTGTTCAGAAAGTCCTAGCCACAGCAATCAGGCAAGACAAAGAATTAAAAGGCATACATATAGGGAAAAAAGGAAGTCAAAATATCTCTCTTCAGTGACAATATGATTCTATACCTAGAAAACTCTAAGGATTCTGCCAAAGACTCCTAGACATAACAAATAATTTAAGCAAAGTCTCAGGATACAAAATCAGCATACAAAAATCTGTAGGATTTCTATGTACCAATAATGTTCAAGCTGCAAACCAAACCAAGAATGCAATTCCATTTATAATAGACACAAAATACCTAAGAATACACCCAACCAAGGAGGTGAAAGTTCTCTATAAGGAGAACCACAAAACATTGCTGAAAGAAATCACAGATGACACAAATAAATGGAAATGCATTCCACACTCATGGATTGGCCAAGGCAATCCTAAACAAAAAGAATAAAGTCAGAGGCATCACATTATCCAAACTCAAACTACATTACAAGGCTACAGTAACCAAAACAGCATGGTACTCATACAAAAACAGACACATAGACCAATGGAACAGAATAGAGGCCCCTGAAATAAAGCCACACATCCACAATCGGTATTTGACAGTCAACAAAAATAAACAATAATAAAAAATACACACACACATCCAGTCTAAAAAAATTAAATTTAAAAAAATGTTCAGAGCACTTGAATAGATCATGTTTCAAAAGGAGCTAAACAAATAGCCAAAAAGCACGTGAAAATCTTAATATCACTAGTCATTAGGGATTGCAAATCAAAACCAGTGTGATCCCAGCTTGCACCTATTAGTATAGCTATTAACGGAAAATCACAAGAATTGGTGAGGATGTGGAGAAACTGGAGACCTCAGGGATTGCTGGTTGAAATGTAAAATGGTACAGCTGCCATTGTAAACAGCATGGTAGTCCCTCAAAAAGTTAAAAATAGAATTACCACTTCTGAATACATACACAAAAGAATTGGAAGCAGGGACTCAAATAGATATTTATACATCAGTGTTCACAGAAGCATTACTCGCAATAGCCAAAAGGTGGAAACAACTCAAATGTTCACTGAAAGATGAATAAACAAAACAAGATGTGTGTCCACACACACAGATACTGAAATATTACTCAGCCTTAAAAAGGAAATTCTGACACATGCTGCAACACAGAAGAACCCTCAAGACATCATGCTAAGTCAAAGGACAGATACTGTATGATTTTATATGAGGTACCTAGTCAATGTCAGAAAGTAGAATGGTGGTTGCCAGGAGATGGAAGAAAAAGGGAAAGTGGAGTTACTGTTTAATGGGTACAGAGTTTCCATTTGGGATAACAAAGTTCTGGAGATGAATAATGGTGAAGTGAAAGTACAACATGAATGTACTTCACGTTGATGAACCAACAGAAAAAAATGTGCAGAAGACCTGAAAACACAAAAATGAGTATCCAAGTAGCCAAATCATATGAAAAAATGTTCATCACCAATTACCAGGAAATGTAAATTGCAGCCCAAAAAAGATACCACTGAACACATGACTACATTTTTCCTTGACAATATCAAGGGTCAACAAAGGAGTGGTACAACTGGAGCCTTACACCCTGCTGGCTGGAGTATAAACTGGTATAACCACTTTGGTAAGTATTTTCACGTCATCAACTAAAACTGAATAAAGGCAGCTTTGTGAGCCAGCAATTTGTATAAAATAGTAAAATGAGCCTATGTACACTGCATTAGTTCCCTAGACTGCCCTAACAAAGTACAACAATCTGGGGGACTTACACAACAAATTTATTGTCTCAAAATTCTGGAAGCTGAAAATCCAAAATCAAAGTGTCAGTAGGACTATGGGCTATGCTTTCTCTGAGACCTGTAGGGGAATCCTTCTTTGCCTCTTAGCTTCTGGTGACTGGCCGGAAATCTCTGGCATTCCTTGGCTTGCAGATGCATCATTCTGATCCTCCATCTGCACATGGCATTCTCCCTTTGTCTCTTCACACAGCTTTCCTTTTATAAAGACACCAGTCATATCAGATAAGAGGCCCACCCGACTCCAGTATGGCCTCATTTTAACCCATAACATCTGCAATGACCCTGTTTTCAAATGAGGTCACATTCTAAGGTACCAGGGGTTAAGATTTCTGTACACCTTGTTTGAAGAAGAAGACACAATTCAGCCCATAACATATACCAAAAATCAATATAATATTCATACAATTGGAATATTCCTGAAATTTCATATTATAAGTTCATAAAATAGAATATTCATAAAAGCAATTTTAATCGCCAAAAATTATGAACAATGCAAATGTCTATCACCATTAGAATGAAATCTAAAGTTGTAATATATTCATGCAATATACTACTACACAGAAATTAAAATAACTACAAATGAAACAACTCTGATGAACTTCACAGACATAAAAGAAGCCATACATGAAATGCACACACTGACCAATTATATTAAATTTTTAAAATAGGCAATCTAAACATTTATTTAGGGATTCATGGTTACACAGTAAAACTGTGAAGACAAGTGATTACCATAAAACTGAAGATGAAGGTGATTAAGCGTTAAAATCAGGAGGGGACATAAAGGTGCTTCTGGGGTACTAGCAAAGTTCAATTTCTTAAACCACATAAGTTACATGATTACAGTGAGTTTTACTCCATTACTGACCCTGTCAGTTAAAAAGGCCTAGAAGCAATGACACCCCAGTAGCAATGAACATACCCAGCACACAGATTTTGATTTCCAAATGCGATTCTCCACTAAAAGAAACAGAAGTGCCTGGCTCCAGAGTTGAAATGAGCCTGGCGTATCTTACCGTGCTAAAGAGCAAAGAAATCACTCAATGGATGATGAAGTCATACCAAAAGGACACAGGATCAGCTTGAAGTAGCTCCCACTGTTCCAATTTAAGACAAATTGGGCATCAATACGAATGATAGTAAGGAAATACACGCATTGAAGTAAATAAGAATCCAGGAGTCCACAATGATATTTTCAAAAAGGGGGGAGAAATGAAAGCTGTTTATAGCAGAAAGCTAACTAATAACATAGAACAATGAAATCAGAAAATCACCATTTGGCAAACATCAGAGTAATAAATGATTCAGGCAAGACTTACTGATGGAGGCTAGCCAGTGGGTAAAAGTTTGAGAAATAACAGGACACTCAGAGCCTCAAAATATTCCAGGATACCTATAACTTACAAAAGGAAAAATAACTTTACAGTGGAGTAACCTTATAGACACTACCTTAACCAAGTGATGAATGCTAACATCACCAGAAATGGAGCAAATTGACAGCATGTGCCTCCATAAGCATCTTTTCTATGGCATTCCTCACAAAAATGCATGAGGTGAATTTCATCATGAGGATATATCAAACAGACCCAAATTGAGAGACATTCCACAAAATGAATGGCTTCAACTCTTCAAATATCAAGGTTATGAAAAATGAGCAAGATTAAAGAACTATTCCAGGTTACAGGAGACTGAAAACACAGGACAACTAAATGTAGCCCACAACTCGGGATTTTCTTCTGTTGTAAATGACATTATTGGCACCACTGGTGAAACGTAAATACGATCGAAAGAGAGAGGGAGAAAGAGAGAAACAGCAAGTAACAGGAGAGCAAGAGTTAGAGACAGGAGAGAGAGAGAAAGAAAATAAAGACTAAAATACAGAAAAATGGTAACAGATGGAGAACTAGGGTAAAAGGTATATATAGGAATTCTTTGTACTATTCTTACAACTTTTATTTGCCTGAAATTATGTCAAAATAAGAAGCTGAAAGACAAAAATCTCACACAATACATAAAATTAGACATTTCACAAAAGCAGAAAACAAAGATAACAAATTCTTCAACCACTTTAAATACTAAAATACCACTTTTGCCACTTAATTAACACTAAAAACATAAATGACAAAATTTAGTGGTAGCAATTCCGGAAAACCTGATACATACTTTCCAGCTTTGCTGTTTGAGTGATCACTAGTCCAACCTTTTGAGGAACAACTTAGCAATATGGACTAAGAGCAATAAAAATGCAGACTCTAGTGATTCCACTTCTGGAACTCTATCCTAAGGAAATAAATACCAAATATTGAAGAGGCATTATACAAAGATATAATCACAGCAGTCTTATTTAAAATAATGTAAATTGAGAAAAAAATCCCAAATATAACACAGAAAGAAAACTGAGATACAATCATTTACAGAAATTCAGACACTAAAACAGTCTATAAAAACTATATAAACATGGGGGAAAGCTTACAACAGATATAATAAAGTAAAATTGCATGAAAGGAATGATTAAAGTAGTTTTAAAAGCATCTACATGCAGCAAGCACACTCAGTCCCCTTGCCATGAGATACCCTGTGCTGCCTAGGGACTTTGCAGACTTCCTACCAGCAAGAAGGCCCTCACCAGATGGAGCCACTCAATGCTGGACTTCTCAGCCTCCATAACTTAAAAAAAAATAAATTCCTTTTCTTTATTAAAAAAAAAAAATGTATCTACACGTAGAATAAGATGAAAACTCACAACGTTGTTACAGTATTTATAGGGTAATGGTATTGGTGAGGTTTTTCCTTCATCTTCCAAAATGTCAGCAACTGTTTATTTTAATACTAAGGATTATGTAACTTAACAAAAAAAATATGCTTAGTTACTACTTTAACATCCTTTGTGTCTTCAAAGTGCATCTGAAAAATATCAGTCATGATGAAGAAAAAAGTCATGATGAAGCGATATATACAAACACCTTTATTTTACTTTTAAACATATCTACCAGTAAATATGTGTGTAGGTTGCACAAGTCCAGGAGAGGAAAAGTTACAGAAGATATATAACAAATATTCACAAGAAATCATGATGGGAATAATATCTTTTCTTTTTTTTTTTTGAGACGAAGTCTTGCTCTGTTGCACAGGCTGGAGGGCAACGGTGTGATGATCAGCTCAGGGCGACTTCCGCCTCCTGGGTTCAAGCAGTTCTCCTGTCTCAGCCTCCCGAGTAGCTGGGACTACAGGCGCCCGTCACCACGCCCAGCTGATTTTTTTATTTTTAGTAGAGACAGGGTTTCACCATATTGGTCAGGCTGGTCTCGAACTTCTGACCTCAAGTGATCCACCCGTCTCAGCCTCCCAAAGTGCTGGGATTACAGGCGTGAGCCACCACGCCCGGCCTAATATCCTTTCAAAGAATAAGTGCATCCCATACAAATAAGGTGGTTACAATAAAGTACTTCAAAGCTCAAGAGCCACAGTACTGAGGTATGATAACTAGCATGAGGAGTCTTCCAGGCTTCTCTTTTGTCCGTACTCACTGAAGTCTCATCCGTTTTTCAGGGGGGCCTTTAGCACTCACTGTCTGTTGTACATTCTTTGTGGTCTCCTTCTCCTCAGATTTTACAGTTTCTGGTACAGGTTCTGCCTCTTTCTTTGTTTGATCCACTGATATCAAAAGTAGATTTTTTGGGGAGGGAGACACGGGTGGAGGGAATGAGATAAATTCAAACAATGGTTGGTATGAACGGTTCACATTTTCAAATTCATTTTTAACTGTTTATCTCAAGTTCTAGATCTAGCTGTTCCCATAGGCAGATGTATACAAGAACCCAGTTACAAACCTAACAACCTGATAACTCAAGGAAATTAATGATACTAGACAAAACTACATAGCATTTAAGTAAGACAGTATGTAAAAACAAGATATATAATTATTCTAACCCAGTATCATGATGGTTCAACACCTGTTTTCAGTAATGTAACAGAAAACAACATTATATAAAAATACAGATTTGAAGAAGAAACCTCGAATCACGGTGGCTTCCTCATATCTCCTCAATACCTACTTTCTCCCTCCCAATTCATCTTTTCACTACCACAATGGCACCATCTGCTGACAGTTCAGCACATCTCAAAGATTAAGAGTAAAAAACTACAATGGGAGACTCTAACCCGTGGCCCACGGGCAGCATGCGGCCCAGGATGGCTTTAAATGTGGCCCAACACAAATCTGTAAACTTTCTTAAAACATTATGAGACTTTTTTTTCTTTTTTCAGCTCATCAGCTATCATTAGTGTTATTTTATGTGTGAACCAAGACAATTCTTCTTCCAATGAGGCCCAGCCCCAGCTCTAGAAGGACAAAATGACCGCGGCTCATTTCACATGCTACAGTTACTGATTTACAAGCTGTTTGATCTTATTTCAAGCGTAATATTAGATGAACCATACCTGGAACAGGCTTTTCTCCAGGCTTTAGCTATAATTTTTTAGAAAAGAGGGAGGGGGAGGAAGAGGAAAAAGAAGAAAACAGGTCAAGTTGGCAAAGTTTCTTCTTCTTAGTGTCATATTAATAAAATGAAAGCTTCATCCAAATTACATTTCAAATGACTTTGTGAAGAAAAGCTACTATTTATGTACTATAAAGTACATTTATCATTGTCTGTTTCTTATTCCCCATTCCAGAAAAGACACAAATCAAAAACTAGAACAAGATAGTCAACCAACCATAAAAATACTTTAACATTTAACAAGGACTTCCACCTCCACACCCAGGCTACAGTGCTTTATAAAAAGCAGTTCAGTAGAATCCAATGGGAAGAAATAATGAAGTCTTCCAATACTCCAGAGTCTTATTTCCTTAATGGGTATGAATTATGGGAAGGGAGAATGAAGTATGGATGAACCATGACTTTTAAAGTTGGCAGGCATGGGAAATTTGGAGGAAAAAGAGATTTCTGATGAGTCTATTATTAAAAACCAATCTATAGGAAAAAAAGATAAGGAAAAAAAGATTAGAAATAAGGTCAGGTCCTTCACTCCGTAGAGCAATTCTTTCACTTGATTAAGCTCTGTCGTCTCCTTTGCCCCGTTCCCCAAGTTAAATGCTCTACAACACTCGTCTTCTTCTACCCCTCATTCTCATCAGATGACACTGTCTCCCATGTTTAAAAACAACAACAAAACCAGGATGCCAACACCACCAACTTCCTTACCATCTACCTTTAAACTTATAACTTTATATACATATACACATACATATATATTTAAAATACCTTAGTACTTCCATATCATCTTAGAAGAAAAAAGCAGTCTCTTCATTTCTAATGCCTCCATCTGTTTGCTGAATCTTTCTGGATTTACATGCCCTCCCTAGGCCTTCTTACATATTCCCACTCCTAACAACTACAAAATTTTCTGATATTACACGTTCCAGGTTCATGCTGACAACTGCCAACTATCCTACTCCAACTGCAAGTCCTGGGAATCTTTACACTTAACAAGACCAAAACTGAGCTTCATATTATTATCCACTGTGCAATAAAAAGGTTACCACAGAAGGCCTGAGGCTGCTATACTTAGAAAGTCCTGCTTGCAAGGTTGGCCCTTGGCTAGTGTCTAGAAACTTGGATTTCGGCCGGGCGCGGTGGCTCAAGCCTGTAATCCCAGCACTTTGGGAGGCCGAGACGGGCGGATCACGAGGTCAGGAGATCGAGACCATCCTGGCTAACACGGTGAAACCCCGTCTCTACTAAAAAATACAAAAAACTAGCCGGGCGAGGTGGCGGGCGCCTGTAGTCCCAGCTACTCGGGAGGCTGAGGCAGGAGAATGGCGTAAACCCGGGAGGCGGAGCTTGCAGTGAGCCGAGATCTGGCCACTGCACTCCAGCCCGGGCGACAGAGCAAGACTTCGTCTAAAAAAAAAAAAAAAAGAAACTTGGATTTCTGGAGGGTTCCCACCATTCCCTGATAATAGTGGCTCACTGTGCCTAGACTGTACAAACAATGCAGTTTAGGCCGAATATCTGCTTTCTTCAGAGGTTGTGGAATTTTGGTATGTGCTAGATAGAGGGTACCTGCATGAAGAGCTCCCCCAACTCCAAAAACACACCTTGGGTACCAGGTCTCTAATGGATCTCCCTGGGAAGAAATATCACATATTCTGCATTTTCACTGTTGAGAGAACAGTGCACTCTGTGTAACCTCTTAAGGGAAGAAGAAAATATAAGGAAGCCTGCACATAGATTCTTCCAGACTCTGCTGTGTCCTTTTCCCTTATGATCTGGCTATACATCCTGACTGTATTATAGCAATGAATCTTAGTTGAGTACAACTACATGCTGAGTCCTTTGAATCCTGCTAGCAATCTCCAATTACAGGAGTTGTCATAAGAACCCCCAACAAAGCCACATATCACATTATCTTGTGAAAATATCAATACTTAAACATGTCTAAAGTAATTCTGAGGGAACAAATTGTTTTTGTTTAAAATAGGAGAGGAAACACAGGGAGGAACATTGAGGAAAGTAAAAAATTTGAAAGGGGGGATTTTTCTACTGTCAGCACTGAACCATTTAAACTATATTGGACACTGAACTATATGTGGACATTGGAATAATGTCGTTATTTACCCAACATAATACACTGTCTAATCTTTTCCAGTAAATCCTGCCAGACTAGTAGAACATGGTTTGAGATGGGGATATATAACAAGGGTGCTTCTTGGAGCAAATTTAATCAGGTAGCTTTGGTTTAGATAATCCTAGGTAAAGTAAATATCCTTCTAGCAGCTTCTAAAAACAGCAAGAAAAAGACAGTCCTCATAAAAGGCTCCAAAGACCGAAACTCTCATCACATCAGTATTAGTGCAACTTCCAGCAGTAACGATATTAAAATATGGAAAAAAGAGCTTCAAAGAAGCAGAGAGGACTTCTCCAATATTCTCCTGAGCATCCCTTATAGAAGCAACATTCTTGGGTACCACAAGCCCAACTGCTCGATAAAATTGGTAAGTAGGAATAGCTGCTGTATCCTTATCTGGACTACAAACAGTTATGGAGGACCCAATGGGTAAAGAGGAGTTAATATGAGCTAAAAGAAGTTCTGGGAGACTTGAAGTAGATTATTTTCTTCTCTAGATCTGAGGCTGGAAAAATTTTTGGTAGGAAAAGCAAAAAGATTATTAATAGTTCTAGAGAAAGCCATCTTTCTCCTAGTTATGTTATACACAGCTGGATATACTCTATCTTTGGGAGTTGGTTTTTGGCTCTTGGATGGTAAAAGAATTGTGAGGTCCAGGAATATGATAATATAAGTATGAATGTGGCTAAACCTTTAAAAGAAAAGGGTAAAACACTCACTGAAATGATAAGAAATCTGCAGTCTGCTTAAAAATAATTGGGAGGAAGTAGGGAGAAAAGAGATAAAATAAGTTTGGCCATTTTGATAACTGCTGAGGCAGACTAAAGGGTATAGGGGGGTTTTATTTTTAATTACTCTCTCTGCTTTCATGTTTTTAAGATTACCATACTTTTCTATAAAGTAAAGAGTTTTTATTTTAAGAATCAAGAGAGTCTTTGAGCTTTCTACAATGTCTAGCCTAGCGCACCAGGACAGGACAGCAAACAAGAATCAAGACAGCACCCCTAGCCAGGGGGAAAAAAAAAAAGTTGTCTTTCACTGAGTACCCCAGGACTCAAATACAATAGCAAACTACTGAATGTTCTGTAGGTCAGTTAATGAAAACCAAACCCCTAACAACTGTACTTCAACCAAAATCTGTCTTTTTCCCTGTATTCTGAATTTTAGCTGACAATACCTAGCCTAATTCTAGGCCTGAAACCCCAGAATCACCCTTTGTCCAATCTCTCCAAATCCAACCACCAAATTAAAGCAATCCTAACTCTGTAAATACCTCCTGAATCTGTATCCTCTCTATCCTATGGCCACAGAAATAATTCAAGCTTTCCACAATTTAAGTACCCTGACTCCAAACTTCACATGTGATTTCCTAAGCATCCCCTACCCTCCTGTTATTAGTTACATTCCTAAAACACAAAACTGACTATATTACTCCCTTGCAACTACTTTTAAATATCCAATGGGTCCTTACTACCATCAGTAATCATTCTCAGCTAGTCACTTGAAGATGAGGTAGAGGAGATTTCAGTGAGAATACACTCCTGGAGAGTATATACTTGAAAAAGACTGTACAAAATTTCCCCTGGTTTGGTCTGTCTTTGGTTATGATAGCTATTGTTTTAAAACTTAAAATAATTTTGAATGCATCTGGAGGCCTGTTATGTTTATGGGAGTGGTAATGAGTAATAAGTTTAAAATAGAGAAGAAACATAGGACTCCAGGATTAAATCCCAGCTTCTTTGCATTGCATATAAAATCCTTCTCAACTGACCTTAATCTATTTTTAAAGTCTCATCTTCCATTACTCTTCCCCTCCACAAACACAGAGTAAGCCCTCAGAGCATTTTTCTGGTTTCTGAACATATGTTCACTAACTCATGTTTCCAGTTTTGCATGTTCTATTATCATTTTCTAGATGAGGACTGTTCAAAAGAAATGTGAGCCACAAATGCAAGATACACATGTAATTTTAAATTTTCTTGTCACATTTTTAAAAAGAAACATGTGTTTTATTTAACCAAATATACCCAAAATATTATTTCAACACATAATCAATATTTTTAAACTACTGAGATATTTTACATGCATTCTTTTTCATACAAGTCTGAAATCCAGTATGTATATTGCACTTACATCACAACTCAATCTGGACTAGCTGTGTTTCAAATACTCATAGTCACACATGCCTCGTGGCTACCGTACTGGACAGCACATGTCTAGATGTCTTCCCCTGCCTACCTAGCATGCACTATGTACTCACCAAATAAATGGTCAACTACACCTAACTTTTTACATTCTGTAGAGGTCATTCATCACCCTACGCACAGCTATAATTCATTTATTTATTTATTTATTCAACAGACAATGTTCCATCTTCAAGTGCAGTTGATGAGATTCCTCTAAACTGGCTTTCCTGTCCTGAGTTCCATCTTGCGTCTTCTGCTCTCTTCACCACCACATCACATTTCCAATAGTCCCTATCTCTCACTACAGCACAGTCAGGGAAGAGAGAAGGGGAGGCCTGTTCTAAATTCATCTCATGTAAAAAATTTCATTTAGTTTAAAATTTCCCTTGAAAATCCCTTAAGGAGCTCCTAACAAAAAAGAGGTATATGATCTTGTATGTACACTGCAAAGGTCCAGAAGAATTGAGACTAGCCATGAGACCAGCACATTCATCGATTCCATTCCACATCTACTTCACTCCAAAAGCTCATTTACTAGAATGGCAGGTGGATTTGCTATTGCTGTTAGAAACCTCCCTGCCCCCCCAAATCACACAGTGGATTCATAAAACTTAAAACCCCAATATAGTGTATCTCTATTAATCACTCCTGTCTCCTCTGTTTATTATGCCAAACACTCTACCTCAGATGTTCTGTTCTTTTTGTTACACAAGTGTTAATCATTCTATCATTTAGATTGTTCAGACATCTACTACATCAGGCTGGAAGGTGGCACGTAGAGTAAAAAGAGCATGAGTTTCATATTCTAGTTTTGTTACCACGTGTGACACTTTCAGCAACCTTTTGAATGAGAATATGATCTATACGCAGTCCTCACAGTTTGTGAAGATTCAGTAAGAAACACAAACAGTGTTAATTCCATTCCATTTACCTATTTCTTCCATTAAGTCTTTAGAAACCTTTCCTTTGAAACAGAGATCATTTTTTAACTAATGAGGAAAATCGTAATTTTAGGTCAAATCTGAAACGGTTCTCAATTAAAAATAAATATATATGCCATAAAGAAGTGTCAAATCAAGATTAACCACACATATTCTCATTACCTGCACAAATTTGGGTGGAAATTTTTGTCTGAGGTCTAAAAGTAAAGCATCCACACGTTGTCTCTGAAAAATAGAGCTTGGTTCTTCTTTCCTTTTGGCTTTAGGTCTGACTTTATCTATTAAATACAAAGTCCAAATCAAAACATTGCCTACTTAGTTTGGTGTCTCATATTTTACAAATCTTTATCCACTATGAATATACCCAAACTTCATTATTTTTAATAGCTGCTAGACCAAAGATAATTCCCAAAATAAGGTAAACACAGCATATATACAGAAGTGCTGTTAACTCTCCCTCTTAACTGAAGTCAAATTCTAACATTTAAGCTGATACATATGTCTTTTAAAGATACTTCAGTTTTGGTATATAAGCATGCACAACCATAAGAGTTTTAAAGCTAAAGTTTTTCAAAATCACCTAAATCAAAATCCAAATTATTTGGTTTGAAATTACCTTTGTGTATTTTAAGTGTATTAAATGGTATTTTCCCACAAAACCTACTAGGAACAAATGGAAATGCAGGTTTCACAAACTCAATCTACCATATTCAATTATTAAGACTGTAATTCACTGAAAAAAAAAATAACAAAACAGAAAATCATGAAGACAAAAAAGAACAGAACCTGAAAGAGAAATTCTGAAGTTAATCACATATGGGATTTGCCCTTGGGAGGGAGGTGTATTGGGAAACCGTATCCAAGCGAAGGGTTTCAGATAAGTGTTACTCCGAACACTTGGTTATGGTAGGTGAAAAGAGCCATTGGGCCAATTTTAGTCAACAAAGGCAAACTTTCCTTCATCAAATGTTCCTGCTTATACCTACTATTAAGAAGATACAGGTCTGAATTCTATACAAACACTATGTTTCCCTCAACAATTTATTCTGAGTTGCTATTTCTCAGACAAGGAAATGGAGAATACAAGTATGCTGTTACAGGCACATTTCTGGAGGTAGTCGAACAGTAAAACATGATGAAGACAGTAGCAGATCAGATGGAAACTTAGAGAACCTGGAGCCACAAGAGGTGGAGAGATGGAAAGATCAGAAAACAGACTGGCCATCTAGGGATAGGGCTCTAAAAAGCAATCTCTCTCATCTCCTCTGCTTTGAAGACTGGAGGAATAAAGAGTTCCAGATTCCAAGATAACTCAGCAGTCAGGTAAGTAAGGAATATCATCTCTGCTCATTCCACGTCACTGCCTCTTCTATGTTCCTTTTTTTTTTCTTTTCTTTTTTTTTCTTTTTGTAGAGACCAGGTTTCACCATGTTGCCCAGGTTGATCTTGAACTCCTGGGCTCAGGTGATCTACCTACCTTGGCATTCCAAAGTGCTGGGATTACAGGAGTAAGCCACCGCACCTGGTCCCAAATATTTTCAAATCTTCAATCACCTTGACTAAGACTACCAGTTACCTAACAAAGTGAACGTGCATCTGTTCCTATGTGAAAGCTATTATTATACATCTAGTTACATGAATCTCAGCTGCAACAAAGCCAGCATCCCATGAAAAAAGTGAAACACACTTAGAAAAGATCAACAGCCACTTTCCTAAAGAAAACAGCTTCATTCTCAGAGGATCAAAAAGTGTGTTAGGAGGGTCTGGATGTTCTACTTACCTTGCTCTTCGTGATCTTTGAAGTGCCACCAATAACCTTTGGAAGGATGATATCGACAGTATGACATAGCTTCATCAAAAGCTGACTGAATACCATGCACTGCAGTAAGCTTGAAAAAGGAAAATAAATTCTAAATTTCTCATTAGGTCAACAAAAATTTCCAAAGTAAATACTCACAAAATATTACATATGCAAAGACAGAACCCATTTTTCAGAACCTAAATTACTATATAATTGAGACTATGAAATACACTTTGACCACTGACTTGGCTCATAGTAACCAAAGTTCAAGACATTCTAATAGTCAATACTTTATAGCAACTTACACAAGGCAGAGGAGTTCCAGTGGGATTACTGGAAGCAAAGTAGCTAATTAAAAGTTTTCTTTAGTGCTTAAAGAATGTGAAGACACTTACCACTCTAGAGTTTATAACTGATCCCAAGTCTGGTGCCTGATAGATCACTCCAGCAATGATATAGTAATCAGCTAGTGGGATAACTAAAACAGTGGGAAAAAAGGTTTACAAATACAGCTATGGACACAAACTGCTAAACAGATTCTCATAAAAAGAACTAAAATCTGACATTTTCCCATAAGGCAGGGTTTAACAATTACTGTTTTGGTAAAGCTGTACCAGGAAACAGCCACATCCAATCATTTACATATTATCTATGGCTGCTATGGCAATAATTGAGCGCTGTCACAGAGACTAGGAGGACCACAAACCCCAAGTATTTAGTCATTGGCCCTTTTCAGAAAAAGTATGCCCACCGTTGCCCTCCAGCAGTGCTTCTCAAACTTTAATGTGCATCTTGTTAAAATTAGATTTTAACCTTTTAACCTTGTTAAAATTAGATTCTTATTCAGTAGGGATAGTGCATTTCTAACAAGTTCCCAAAAGATGCCAAGACTGTTGTCAGTCAACCTTACTTAAGGTAGTAAGACCTTGGAGCAAGACAGACTGGGGGTCCAGTGTAAAGATATCAAATGCAATGAGCTTGCTTTTGTGCCCCAGTGCTGGGTCCTAAGGAATAAGATAACTGCCAGTGAGGATACTGCCGTCTTGTATAATTTCTATACCTTGAATCCTCTCACCATGGAAATCTTATCTTGTCGCTGGTCTGCCTTGATTCTAAGGTTCTCTTTTACTCTGGGCAGGGACTCTAGATCTTTGGTTTTGAAACTAAATTTGGATTCTAGAATCATAACTGCTTTATCAAGTCATTCTCTGAAAACAATGCCAAGTTAAAGGTTGTCCGTAAATGTCTTAATGAGGGTATCCAATTGAGAGATGTAGCTAGAATAACACCCATCTGGCTCCCCTATCTTGAATCTTCTCTTCAGTATGACTTTATCCATGGTCTTGGCTTGATTCTAATGTCTTCAGTTTCTGGTCATCGCTGGAAAAGGTGTCTAGCTCTTTGATTCAAAACCAAATCTGGACTCTACACTCTTCAGTGTTGTTTCTAAACCAAGTTTTCAGTAGGTAGTATAACCCAGGCAAGGCTTTTAGTTCAATGCATCACTGAGGATTTTCAATTGATCCTCTATTAGTTTGATACGACCGTATCTACCATGCATTTTTTAAAAGAATTAACTCAGTGGACTGAGATGAAAAGAAAAGTTAATTGTGATCATCAGCAAAGCCTGAGTCCTGTCCTCTCACTCTCCTCCCCAGAGAGCATGAGCTTCACCACTCGCTCCACCTTCTCCACCAACTACTGGTCCCTAGGCTCCATCCAGGCGCCCAGCTAGGGCACCCAGCTGGTCAGCAGCGCAGCCAGCGTCTATGCAGGCACCGGAGGCTCTGGTTCCCGGATCTCCGTGTCCCGCTCCACCAGCTTCCAGGGCAGCTTGGGGTACGGGGGCCTGGCCACGGGATGGCCAGGGTTCTGACAGGAATGGGAGGCATCCAGAACGAGGAGGAGACCATGCAAAGCCTGAACCTACCTGGTTCAAAGCCTGGCCTCCCACCTGGACAGAGTGAGGAGCCTGGAGACCGAGAACCGGAGGCTAGAGAGCAAAACCCAGGAGCGCCTGGAGAAAAAGGGACCCCAGGTCAGAGACTGGGTCCGTTACTTCAAGACTATCAAGGACCTGGAGGCTCAGATCTTCTCAAATACTGTGGACAATGCCTGCATTGTTCTGCAGATTGACAATGCCCATCTTGCTGCTGATAGAGTCAAGTATGAGACAGAGCTGGCCATGCCTCGGTCTGTGGAGAGCAACATCCATGGGCTCTGGAAGGCCAGTGATGACACCAATGTCACTCTGCTTCAGCTAGAGACAGAGATTGAGGCTCTCAAGGAGGAGCTACTCTTCATGAAGAACCATGAACAGGAAGTAAAAGGCCCATAAGCCCAGACTGCCAGCTCTGGGTTGACGATGAAGGTACATGCCCCCAAATCTCAGGACTTCGCCGAGATCATAGCAGACATCTGGGCCTAATACAAAGAGCTGGCTCAGAAGAACCGAGAGGAGTCAGAAAAGCACTGGTCTCAGCAGATTGAGGACAGCACCACAGTGGTCACTATGCAGTCTGCCAAGGTTGGAGCTGCTGAGGTGACGCTCACGAAGCTGAGAGGTACGGTCCAGTCCTTGGAGACTGACCTGGACTCGATGAGAAATATAAACGCCAGCTTGAAGAACAGCCTGAGGGAGGTGGAGGCCTGCTACGCCCTGCAGATGGAGCAGCTCAACAGGATCCTGCTATACCTGGAGTCGGAGCTGGCACAGGCTGGGGCAGAGAGGCAGCACCAGGCCCAGGAGTATGAGGCCCTGTTGAATATCAAGGTCAAGCTGGAGGCTGAGATTGCCACCTACCGCCGCCTGCTGGAAGACAGCCAGGACTTCAATCTTAGTGATGCCCTGGACAGCAGCAACTCCATGCAAATCATCCAAAAGACCCCACCTGCCAGGTAGTGGATGGCAGAGTGGTGTGAGAGACCAACAACATCAAAGTTCTGAGACATTAAGCCAGCAGAAGCAGGGTACCCTTTGAGGAGCAGGAGGCCAATAAAAAGTTCAGAGGTCAAAAAACAAAAAAAAGTTACTTAGGATGCTTGACATTCAGTTGGTATACCAACTGTGCTCACAGAAAGAGGGAGCTTTGATGCAGTGAGTTGCTCTGTTAGTGCTTGAAGAGTTGTCCTTGGGCATGCTGGAAGAGTCCTGGTATCCAAGTATACAACTAGTGGAACTTGGCTTTTGAAACTTTTCCTACATAAGAGTTATGCTGGTTGTACCAGCCTCTGCAGACAATTTGTACAAACAATGTGACTATAAGTAGACACCAGATTTCTTTTGGAAAATCTAAAAATTTGGTGGGCAGAGGATGTCCAAACAACCAGCCCTCAATAAAAATCCCTGGCTCAGAACCTCAAATGGACTTCCTTGAGCAGACATATTGAATGCAGCTGCATTTCACTGCTGGATGGAGGGCACACTCTGTGGCCCTTCACAAGCAAGAGGGAAAGCATAGGAAACCTGCACATGGATTCCTACAGACCTCACCTGACATGTCTTTTTCCAGTACTAATCTGGCTGCGTACCCTTACTGTGTTGTCATAACAAATCTCAGCTGTAAGTACAACCATATGCTAAGTCTGGTGAGTCCTCCAGCATAGTACTGAACATGTATGTGGTCTTGGGGACCCCCCAAACAGAAACCAATCAAAAAAACCAAGTTAGGTCAGAAAGTAAATAAATCATGGTATTTTAAAAAGAAAACAATGCCTAAAGTTTACACATTTTACCTTGGGCAGGGGACTGCCGCTGTTGCTTCCGAATGATGAAAAGAATGGGCTCTTGAGCATGCAAAAGGATGTATTCGATTCCAACCATCTGACTGAAAACAGAACACAGACATCCAAATATCTATAAATGCCCTACAAATAATTTTATAAGACAAATTATATAAAAATGCGGCAACACTTTAATAGGATTAAAACTGCCTATGTTTGGTGTTATAATCTGACTGTCGAGTAAAACTAGTTTGTTTTTAAACAACAAAATTTCTCTACAAAAATGTATTATAAATTTAAATCTGAGTGTTTTCAGTTAGGAAAGGACACCGAAGAGTGTCTGCTTCAAAACGGCAATCAAAATGTCATGATGCTTCCTGACCAAATCTACGAATACTTATAAAATATAAAAATAAACATGAAGACACAACTTCATATACTACCAAACTAGAAAACATCAAAAACTTTATCCTCACCCCAATAAATTTTTTTACCTGATAGATTATGTTTAAAAACAACAATAAGTTGTCTCAATAGCTGTATTTGCCCCATAACAAAAGCCATTTAAAATATGACAGATATTTAATTTTATATTCTCCTCCTCAATATTTAGCTGATAATAGGAAAATTATATCAACAGTTGTTTCAAATACTTTTGTAATATAAACTAGATATAAAAGGGACAATAATTATAGTTGCCTAGTTGAGAATAGCAGTAGCATTGCCAAAGTCACTCATCAGATCGAAATCTAAACCTGTTATATTTAATTAAACATTATGAAGTTATACAGAAAAGACCTCTGTTAAAAGTGAATACTAATAATTATCTTGCATGTCAAATTTGTATAAACCCAAATAAAACTCCAGTTTTTCCTCTAAAATTCTACTTTGCACTTCATGATCCACAGCTTTAAAGAACTGTTCATTGTAAAACCTGTATTTGGTAAAAATACTACCTTCTTAAAATAACTTACTTCAAGTGTTCTAATGTTAGCCTCTGCATTTTCACCACTTCATTATTACATGTTCTGTCATAAAAAGGATTACTTCTTTCTGAAAAGTAATCCAGGACACTACCACTGTTCAAAATAGGGATCCAAGAGCTGTCAACCCAAGAAATTCCCAGCAGATTGTCTATGGGAAAGAAAACAAAATGATAAAGAATTAGAAAAAAAAGAAAGAATCCAATCCAACAAACATTTATTATACATCTAATGTAGTAGGCACTATGAATATAAGGATGACATAGATCCTAACCAACATACTTTCATGATGTAACAGAAGAGATTATGCAAGAAAGCAATAACATGATGTAAGTGTTATGATAAAGACATGGTGAAACTCTGTCTCTACTAAAAATACAAAAAATTCCGGCCGGGGGCGGTGGCTCACGCCTGTAACACTAGTACTTTAGGGATCTGAGGCAGACGGACCACCTGAGGTTGGGAGTTTGAGACCAGCCTGACCAACATGCAGAAACTCTGCCTCTACTAAAAATACAAAAATTGCCTGGCATGGTTGTGCATGCCCATAATCCCAGCTACTTGGGAGACTGAGGCAGGAGAATCGATGCACCCAGAAGGTGGAGGTTGCGGTGAGACGAGATCATGCCACTGCACTCCAACCTGAGCAACAAGAGTGAAACTCCATCTCAAAAAAAGAAAAAAACAAACAAAAAATTAGCCAGGCGTGGTGGTGAACACCTGTAATCCCAGCTACTTGGGAGGCTGTGGCAGGAGAATCGCTTGGACCCAGGAGGCGGAGGTTGCAGTGAGCTGAGATTGCGCCACTGCACTCCAGCCTGGGCAACAGAGCGAGACTCCGTCTCAAAAATAAAGATATGAAGAAATGTGTTACAAGACTACAGAGGACCTGGGGGAACGAAAATCATTTTTCATGGGGTGAGAAGATGGGTTTTAGCATGATTTGTTAAAGAATAGATAGAAACTTACACAGAGAAAAGGGCAAAGTAACTCCAAGCAGAGAGAATGTATATAAAGAGGTATAAAAATACAAAGTATATTATATCTTCAGAGGATAATTTCATTAGGTGAAGAAGTGATATGATTTAAAATTTAGAAAGGACTTTTTTTTTTAATTGGAAATCCTTAATGCTGGCAAAGAATTCAAAATTTTCAAACAACATGTATGCCCAAGAGAACACATCCATAGCTACCAGTTTGCGATCTCTCAATTAGGGATAGAGAAGTTAGGAAGCTATTATTGTAGATGAGATGATAATGATGTAAAAACTAAGGGATAAACAGTAAGTAGAATTACCTTAACTATAGCCACACAGTTTCATATTTAGAGTAGAATTAAATCATGGCTTTTAAAAAGACATGATAGAGCTAGATACTTTTAATAAATGAGCTTGTATTGGCCATTGGCTTTGATGATGCTTCATACCACTGACTGTACTGAACACCACTAGGTGTAAATCATGAACATCAAAATGCCTATACAATACTGGTTGAAAAACTTCAATCTCTCTTACACTGTCATTACCTCAGGCATCTTCAAAGAAGTCAGACCTAATTCAAGGTGACAGGCAGTTTTGAGCCAAGTGACTCAACTGAGAAAAATTATATAAAGGTAAAATGTACTTTGTGTGCTATAAAATAAAGGAGGAGACAAAGTATGTTAACCAAATAATTAGTACAGACCATTTAGATAGTTCATCATAACTGGATCATGCAATAACCAAATACACAATAGGCCAGGAAATAACATTTTCAGGCCTCCTAACTGGTTTTCCTAATTCTACCCTTGTCCTCCTACACTGTTCCCAGCAGCCAATGTAGTCCTTTAAAAAAAAAATCAGATCACATCATTCCTATGATGGAAATCCCTCCAATGGCTCTCCGTTTTACTCAGAGGAAAAGCCAAAGACCTTATCATGGCTTTCAACACCTTTCTGACCTCATCTCCTTACCACATCCTCTCTCATTTCCCTCCAGCCACACTGACCTCTTTGCTGTTCCTTTAACATACCAAACACACTCTTAGAGTCTTTGCCATGATCCTAACAAATCCGAATTATAAGTAAAACATTTTACAAACTAAATATTTGAAAACAGTCTGATAGACTAAATGTTTCTCTATTTTATTCTGTAGCAAGGCAACATGTTGACATAGTCCAAGCATTCTAACAATCAGCAAGTGATGAAATTAGGCACTTGAAACGCCCACTTATAATGAAAGACATGTATGTAAAATCATGATCCAGAAGTGCTGAAGATCACCGGATAACTACAAATGAAAATATTTGTAATAAATGTGTTAGACCCCAATCCAGTTAATATTAAAAAAAAGGCATCTCAAACACTTCCCTTTAAAAATCAAGTACTGTATATACAAACAAAAACAACTCTACGTGCTCCCCAAGATCAAGCAGCAATTAAGCGGGGGCATCGCCATACATTTATTCACTGACTGATTCAGTATGTGAGTACCTCTACAGTTCAGCTGTGAAAAAAATACGACTCCTGGCCATAATAATTGCTGCATGTTCGATGTAAAGTATTATCGACTCAAAAAACAAACAAACAAAAAAAAAACCTTACAATAGAAAATATTTGGGATTCATGCTCAGGGACCCGCGGCGCGCGATCTAAAGAATCTGGCAGACACCATGCCAAGTCCCAAGAGATGAATCAAATCAAGTTGGCTCATTACCCCACTCCCTCCTCTGCCTAAAGGCCATTCCTTCACTCCAATAGAATAGCCCTAACGTTGTCGCAGAGGTACGTGTGAAGAACAATACTCCAGCTCTGAAGGCTCAAGGCCCAGAGCTTCTTCCAACCCCTTCTCTCCGACGCTTCCAAGAGACGTTTCAAGAACTTAAAAAAAAACTCGTCAACGTTTCGCTAGATCACAGCCTTGCGTTGTCCACAAAAACCACTCAAAAAAGCTTGAGACCTCACACAAAGGAACCTAAACCTTGAAAGTGCGAGCTATAACATCCCAAACTAGTCCATAGACAATCAAGAGACAAAACATAGCAATAGACTATACCTCGGATATCCACCCCCGCCATAATTCCGAAAGCGTTCGGAGGTTCTCTTTCCGGCGCAAAGTAAACGTAAGCCTAGGCCGCCGGAAGCAGCGGGTTGAACAGAGTGCGCATGGGTGAGGAGGGACGTAGAGCGGAAGAAGGGGCGGGGCGGGCGGGAGAGAGGCAGGGCTGGGAGGTGCGAGTGGGAGGGGAGGGGGCAGAAAGCGGGAGAGGCGGGGGAGGCGGGAAACGCGAGGTGGGGTGGGGGGGTGGGGGGACGGGACGCGGAAAGGTTGGTGCAGGGCAGCAGGGAAAGACTGGGAGGAGAGGGATGGGCCAAAAAAGGAGAATGGGAGGACGGATTACTGGGGAAAAAATTAGAAGACTTTAGAGGACAGGAAGGCCGAGTGGAGTCCCGCCCCACGCCCACCACTGATGGAATAATTCTGTCTTGATCGTCTGTGATCGTCAGGAAAACAAATTCTGATGCTGTACAGTTACGCTTGGGAGCGTCTCTTAATTTTAAAAGCTCCTCGGGTACATCCACTGAGCTATCAGATTTAGGAACGATGGTCATTTATGTTTTTCTCCCTGCCTCAGGTATTGGGATGGGACAGGACTTAAGAATTTGGGAGTCATTGGCTTTTCTGTGACCAAATCCATTAAAACTCTAAACCAATTAAGCCTCTGAGAAAAATTTCACAGCACAGGAAATGCTTCTGAAGTGAAATATTAATAAGATTAAGAGAAAGGGAATACTCCTGGGTCCCACAGTAATGAGCGAATGTCTGCATTCCAAGTAGTCTGGAGTAGGTAGCAGGACTCCAAAGAGGGAATGATTCTGTGTACGGGGAAGCCACAGAAAGCCTCAGATTCTCAAGCTTCAGTGTGGCTCTGTAAAAGCAAAATGATACAGAAATATGAAAACAACACGCAGATACTAGGAAGAGGATGCCAAAATCTGAAGGAGGGATGTGGGCGGGGCCTACATCTTCTCCAAAACTTAGGCACTGTGAAGACTCCGCAAGAATTTAACCACCACCCAGGAGCAAGAGGGGAAGACCATAAATTTAATTGAGATTTTGAACCTCATAGACAGGGAATTCAAAATTTTTAAAACTCCGTAGAATAAAAGTACATTGCCTATACATTTCAGTTTGGGAATTTTCTGCCTGAGATAGTATGTATAAAATAGGTGTCCCAACAGAAGTATGTGCATGCACAGAGTAGAGTTTTGAGAGAGAATTTTTCAGGAAGGAAATTTTCAGGAGGGCCTGTTTGGGAGCCTAGTGGGAGGACATTGCAAAAAGGAGGAGTATCGTGTCCAATAAAAAGTGTGATACATAAAGCTTTTTGTTTTTCTAGTTTTTTGTTTCCTTGTGTTTTGATTAGGCTAGAAGGCGATTAGGAAGGATAGTGACAGAATGCAGATCTGTAGACAATAAAACACATGATATGTATGGTAAATGAGACCTGGAAGCTCAACCTTTTCTTGTAGGCAATGGGAGAAATGTTATCAAGCTTCCATTTTAGAAAGACTACTTGAGGAGGGCCGGGCACAGTGGCTCACGCCTGTAATCCCAGCACTTTGGGAGGCCGAGGCGGTCGGATCACGAGGTCAGGAGATCGAGACCATCCGGGCTAACAAGGTGAAACCTCGTCAACACTAAAAATACAAATATTAGCTGGGCGTGGTGACGGCGCCTGTAGTCCCAGCTACTCAGGAGGCTGAGACAGGAGAATGGTGTGAACCTGGGAGGCGGAGCTTGCAGTGAGCTGAGATTGGGCCACTGCACTCCAGCCTGGGTGACAGAGCGAGATTCCGTCAAAAAAAAAAAGTGGAGAAAAAAAGATGTGGAGAAATAGGAACACTTTTACATTTTGCACTGTTGGTGGGACTGTAAACTAGTTCAACCATTGTGGAAAACGGTGTGGGGATTCCTCAAGCATCTAGAACTAGAAATACCATTTGACCTAGCCATCCCATTGCTGGGGATATACCCAAAGGATTATAAGTCATGCTGCTATAAAGACACATGCACATGTATGTTTATTGTGGCACTATTTACAATAGCAAAGACTTGGAATCAACCCAAATGTCCATCAGTGACATACACCATGGAATACTATGCAGCCATAAAAAAGGATGAGTTCGTGTCCTTTGTAGGGACATGGATACAGCTGGAAACCATCATTCTCAGCAAACTATTGCAAGAACAGAAAACCAAATACAGCATGTTCTCACTCATAGGTGGGAATTGAACAATGAGATCACTTGGACACAGGAAGGGGAACATCACACACCGGGTCCTATTGTGGTGGGGGGGGGCGGGAGGGACAGATTAGGAGATATACCTAATGTAAATGACGAGTTAATGGTTGCAGCACACCAACATGGCACATGTATACATATGTAACAAACCTGCACGTTGTGCACATGTACCCTAGAACTTAAAGTATAATAAAATAAAATAAAATAAAATGCAAAAAAAAAAAAAAAAGAAAGAAAGAAAGATTACTTGAGGAGAATGAGTTGGAGGTGTTTGTAAGACTCAAAGCAGGGAGTGCATTTAGGAGAGTCTTGCAAGCTAAATAATGTCTATACTAATACAAAGAGTGGTAGCTGAAGAGAAAGACAGGATTAAAGATATTTAGGTGACAGAATCAAAAGGGAATTAGTGACTAATAAATGGGCCTGATGAGGGAGAGGGAGGAATTGAAAATGATATTAGAGATACTAGTTTATAAGATAAATATCATTAATCAGATTAGGAATAACAAGTAACAAATTAGTAGGTGAGAAAAGAGGTAGTGATTTATTTCTGAACATGACCATGTTGTTCATGAAGTATCTGTAGGACATCCTGTTAACCAGGTTTTCTTAGGCTTTGCGCTATGGATATTTTGGGCCAGATCATTCTTTGCTGAAGATGGATGGATGTTTAATAGCATTTCTGGCTTCTACAAACTAGATGCCAATAGCTCCCCCCACCTCTCCAGCAAAACTATCCCTGGTTGAAAACCACTGCTATACACTGGTATCTATGGAAATATGAAGTCAAAGCAGAAAAGTTTCAGGAAGAAGGTATACTCAACAGCATCAAGAAAACAAGCGAGGTAAGGTAATGGCCAAGAAGCAGGCCTTGGATTTGGTAAATTGGATGCCCATAACAAGAATAATTTCTGTGGAATGGTAGGAAGGGGAAGAAGCCAGAGGAAGATATGTTCAGCAGTAAAAGGAGGTGGCATGGTGTGTAAACTGTGCTTTCAAGAAGCTTGGCTGAGAAGGAAGGCTAGAGCTAGAACCCTACGTAGAAGGGGATATGGAAATAATCATAGGGAAATGTGAATATGTTGATAGGTAATGTGAAAGACTCAAAGAGAATACCTCCAGTTTATCTTAAAATTGTTCACCTATTCATCAGTCAATCATCAGGTATTTAACACCTCATTGCAGCTCTCATTGCAGAGGATAAAGCAGTAAACAGAAAAAGCCCCTGGCTTCAAGGAGCCAACAGCTCTGGTGGAAAATAAAGACCATGAACAAGTAAACAAATAAAGAAGAGCATTACAGCCTCACCCCTGTAATCCTAGCACTTTGGGAGGCCAAGATGGGAGGATCGCTTGAGCCCAGGAGCTGGAGACCAGCCTGGTCAACATAGCGAGATCCCATCTCTATTTATTATATATTAATTGTTTCAATTAATAATGAAATATAAGTTAAAAAGTGTTACAGATTGTGGTAACAAAACAAGAGAAGACAAGATAGTGAGGAAGCCACTTTGGATAGGACAGACAGAACAGGACTCTCTGAGGAAGTGATACCTGAGATGAGACCTGGATGATGAAAGCAAATCACTCATGTGAAGAGCTGGGGCACACGCATTTCAGGCAGAGGGGACCATGGACCCTACAGTGGGAAAGGGGTTGGTCTGAGAACCATAGAAAGGCCGGTGTAAGCCAGGTTGTACGAGTGAAGGATGAATGATGGGAAAAGAGACTGGGAATGAAGGCAGGGGCCAGATGATAGAGAGCCTGGTCAATAATTTATTTTTTATTCAAAGAACATAGGAAGCTATTAAAAGATTTGAAAGGGTAGAATGCCACGAAGGTATTAGTTCTGACTGGAAATTTGTTTATGGATGTCAAAAGTATTTGTTGTGCTTATTGAGCCACTTACTATGGATGAGGCACCGTGCTAAGCACTTTGATGAACTATCTAGTTGTTCCCTTGAAACAATTTTATGAGGCAGAAGCTATTACTCCCAATTTTTTTTTTTCGTTCCCAAATTTTATTCAAGAAATCATACAAAATATTCTGGATAAATGAAATTTAATCCTCATCTTCCTCCTCTTCTTCGTCCTGGTTAATCTGGAAGTAACGTAATTCATAACTCTCTTTGCTATTAGCAACCACGCGCAACCAGTCATGTAGATTATTCTTCTTCAAATGTTTTTTGGTGAGATATTTCAAATGCCTTTTGGAGAAAGCACCTCAGATGTCACGGTGATCTTGTTCTTGCTCCTTTCGATGGTCACCACCCCTCCACCAAGGTTCCCAGCTTTTCCATTTACTTTGATCCTTTCTTGCAAAAACTGCTCAAAATTGGCAACATCCATGATTCCATCTTCTACAGGGTGGGTGCAATCAAGAGTGAACTTCAGAACCTGCTTCTTTTTTTTGCCCCCTTCGCCACAAGCTTTTTCACAGGAGCCATGGCCGCAGCCGAGTTAGAAAGTATTACTCCCATTTTTAAATGAGGAGACTGACTGAAGCAGATGAGCTAGCTTCTCACCAAACTTATTAGCTACTTGGGTATACAGCTAAGCTATATTTTCCACCACTGTTGCACCTGGATGGAGCTACGTAGCCAGTTCTCATGAAGGGACTGTGAATGGAAGTGATAAGTGTTACCTCCAGACCAAGATAGCGAAAAACACTGGTTCCATCTTCACCTTCTCTCTCTGTATTCACCAGCTAGATGCCAGAAAACCTAAGGTCATGGATTGAAAGTGGTGGTCATAGGGAGTTGCGGGGGTGGGGTCTCTGAATGACTGACCACAGGTGCTGAGCCACCTTGCTGACCTAAACTGGATTCAAAGCAAGAAATAAGATTTTATTGTGTTAAAACACATGCACGCACACAAAATTGCTATGTACTGTCTCCTCCATAAAATCAGTAATACTGGTGTAATGTCTTTTCTGTATGATATATTAAAATGTGTACCTGCCTCCCCTATATACAGTATGACATTTTGAGGCTTTATGATTTGGAAACTTAGATAATTTAATACATAAGTGTGAGAATGCAAGTAAAAGAGAAAAAAACAAGATCTTTAGTAAGGAAGTGGGAATGATTTCTGATTGGTTAAAGATGAAATGATGCCCATGGATAATTGATAATGTGTGGTACTCATCTTCCTCTATAAGATCACCATCTAAAAAAACAGCTTTTCTTCACACATGCTCTCTTTAAATACCTGACACCATGATCCTCATTACTACGTTTTTCTTTCTCTAACATTCTCTCCAATATTCTAAACTTACACGTCATGTCATCCCATTCTGTACCTATAGAAATGTGTGTCCTATAGGAATACCTCTATAATTGCATGTCCTGAATTCAGAAACTTTTCTAAAAAAAAATTTCTAGACTGTAAACTCTGTGAGGACATGGTCGTGTCTGTGTTTGCCTGGTGTTACTTACTTAGTCTCTGGCAGGGTGTTTTTGATATAGTAGGTGTTCAACAAATATTTGCTGAATGAACAAATTCATGTATAAATGAATGGATGATATGATGGCCCTCAGATAAATAATAAACTTCATTAATTCAATAATAAATGAAATATGAAATTGCTAATAGAAATTTATTTATGGGAAGTTATAAGAAAATTCTTAAAATCTCCCCTGATGTTAGAATAATGCCAAGCGCACGACTTTATTTACACTAATATTCTAAATAAAAACAACATGGTTATATTTTGTTTGGTGTCCTATCAAGAAACTATTTTAGCAAATGACAAATGTGTGGGGTGTTTTTTCTTCTTATTTAGTGAGGAAAAGTCCAGCTACTTCATTATACAAAGCAGAGCAGAAAATTGCCTTAGAAATACTGAGGAATTATCTCTGAAAAGTTACCTTGGAAACTCTGAGATTGGCCCCAGTGGTCTAGGGAGAGGTATGGTACCAATTTTTTTGTGATTTAAGGGTTACAAGAAAAGCTACATAACCCCTTAAGGCAAATGCCAAAACCTGACCTATGGCAGTAATTCTGAAAGCAGCTGTTCACCTTAGGAAGTGGCTGTAATCATAAACCAAAAAAATCTAATCACAAAGCTTTAACCCTAGAATCCTAAACATAGAGTACAAATAAGCTTAGTCCAAACAGAATCATCTTCCCTCAAAGAACCTTTGTGGATTTTCCTCTCGTTGCAGGATAGTTGTCAAGGGCCCATGAGATTACACAGTGCTAACTTTAAGTAAGACTCCATCAAGGCATCAAAAAGCAGTAACAAAGGCAAACTAGATCATCATACTCCAGTATGTCATTAGAAAATATTTAATAACCCCCACACTCTTTGGGGTGTGTATGTCCCTGAGATGCTTGGTTAATTCTGGAGCAGAGCAAAGAGAAGCATCCCAAGGAAGATGCTTGACCGCCAACTCAATACAGCAGGTAGGGGCTCAAAGTCAAATTGCTGTATCTGAAGTAACAATCCCAGCAAACCCTGAAAAGGAGGTGGCTGTGGCAATATATTGGAAATCCACTGGTAGTTCTTGCTTTACGGTTAAGGATCTGTGGGTAGAGGATTAGACAGTTTCCTGAAGAAAAATGCAGGGAAGAAAGTAGTAATTCTGGGACCTTATCAGTAATTAAAATAGCTCAGTGTATTCTCATATTCTCCTTTTAATCTGGGCTACATCTAAACCCATGTCTCCCTTTTTAATTATATTTCTTTCTTCTTTTTTTTCATGATGAATGTCACCAAAGATTTATCCAATTTGATTGTATTTTTAAAGAATGAACTTTTATCTTGATTAATTCATTCTATTGTATTTTTTCTGTTTCACTTATTTCTGTTCATTTTTTGTTCATATTTTTATTCTATTTCCTTTGGCTTTATTCTGTTGTTCTTTTTCTAATTTATTGAGATGAACATTAATCAATTAATCTTCAGCTTATATTCCTTTCTTTTCTTTTCTCTCTCTCTCTCTCTCTCTCTCTCTTTCTTTCTATTTTTTGACAGAGTCTCCCTCTCTTGTCCAGGCTGGAGTGCAGTGCAGTGGTGCGATCTCGGCTCACTGCAAGCTCCAGAATTCAAGCAATTCTCCTACCTCAGCCTCCCAAGTAGCTGGGTTACAGGTGCCCACCACCAAGCCTGGCCAATTTTTTTTGTATTTTTAGTAGAAACAGGGTTTCACCATGTTGGCCAGGCTGGTTTCGAACTCCTGACCTCAAGTGATCTGCCCCCACCCCTCCCTTTGGCCTTCCAAAGTGCTAGGATTACAGGTGTGAGCCACCATGCCCGGCCTTCTATTCATTTCTTAAGTAAGCATGTAAGGCTATAAATTTTCCCCCAAAGAAACACTTTCATTGTATACCTTAAGTATTGATGTATAGTATTTTCTTTATCATTTAGTTCTAAGTGTTTTTTTAAGTTTTGATTTTTTCTTTGATTTGTGAGTCATTTTTTAATTCCAAAGTATGTAAAATTTTAAAAATTATCTTTTTGTTATTAACTTTTTTTTTTTTTGAGACAGAGTCTCACTCCATCACAATTCTCCTGCCTCAGCCTCCCCAGTAGCTGGGACTAAAGGTGCGCACCACTACACCCAGCTAATTTTTTGTATTTTTAGTAGAGACAGGGATTCACCATGTTGGTGAGGCTGGTCTCAAACTCCTGGCCTAAGATGATCCACCTGCCTCGGCCTCCCAAAGTGCTGGGATTACAGGCACAAGCCACCATGCCCAGCCTGTTATTAACTTCTAACTCAATTGCATTGTCCTCAAGGAACATGTTCTACATAATACCTATTCTTCAATTTTTGTTTAGATTTGCTTCATGCCTTATATGATCATGTGTGCTTAAGAAAGCAATGCATCCTCTAAATGCTGGATACAGAATCTGGAAGTGTTAGACACCCCAACTTCTCAATACTGTCTTTTTTCTTGGTCTCCATGGCACTACCCTCCACTAGTATTTCTGCCACCTCTCAGACTATTCCTTTTCTATTCCTTACACGGGCTTCTCTTCCTCTATTTTACCTGTAAGACCTCTAATCTTCAGACCTACCCTCATCTTTTCTATCTTCCTGCTTTTCACTCTCCTCTCTCGATTTCATTCACACTGTGGCTGCAGTTTTCATCTATGTTATCATGGCTCACAAAACAGCCTAATCTAGACCTCTCTCCTGAGCCCCAGGAACATATTTGTAACTGCATACTGGATAGCCCCAACTTGCTGTTCTGTTTCAAAGTACAAGAGATTCACTCTTACCTGTATTCTTGATCTTACTAAGAAACCTTGCCACTCCCTCTTCCTTACCTCCCTCACTAATCTAGTGCCAAGTCTTCTCAGGCTCCTGTCTCAAATCAGGCTTCTCCTCTGCATCTTCACTGCTATTCTTTCCATCCCAATGCCCATTCTGTCTTGCCTGAACATTGTTGCCAGGGTAATTTTTCTATAAATAGTGTTTTCTTGCTCTAAAAGCTTTACCAACTCTATTTGCAGCCCACAACATGAAATGTAAATGGGCCCCAACCTACTTTTCAGCATTATCTCTCAACCCCAAATCACCACTGCACACACTGAACCCCTGCAACACTGAGCTTCTCACAGATCCCCAAACTGCTTGAGATGTTTATGTCTCTGGGTCTTTGGACATCGTTCTACCTGGAAACTTGGAATGTTATTGTGTCTCTATCCTCACTCACACCCTTAACCCACACACAGGACAGCAAATGTGTATGCACACATGCATACACACAAATATACATTTATCTGAAAAATTCTACTCATGTGCAAGCAAGATTAGAATATGTAAAAAAAAAAAAAAACTAAAAAAAAGTTTGTTATTCTGCAGATGCTGACAATTGGTGATTAATGAAATTTTAGTTGGAGACAAATAGGCGGGTAGGAGAAAGGCAGGAAACAGGAAATAACATGTCAGCAAATAGTCCCCTACTCTTCATCATTTCTCTGTTGACTTGTTAGGAAATTTTCTTAAGCCACCATAAAATATCATGTTCAATTCCACTACTTCTCAGACACCTAGCTGCCCAGGCATTTGGCTAATTGGATGAATCTATATAGCTGACTCTATATCCCAATTCACCTTCATGTTATTTTCCCCTGGGATTGGTCACCTGGTAATCCTGATCCCAGGCTTGTCTTCCTAGTAATTATGTTGTTTGTATTCTCTTATAATTATCTCCTGTTGAGTTTTCCTGAAGTTTATATTTATTTCTAAACCTATAATATGTGGACATAAAGAAATATTTTATTTTCATAGGCTCATGTATGGTGTATATTTATATAAGAACATTTACAAGGTATTTATTAATAGGAAGAAAATTTCTGGGTTTTTGTTCCATTTCCTGCCAGATGAAAATGACCCTTCCCCCACCAGTGTCTGTCCATGTGAGTATGGCTTTATGTGATTTTCATACATAAAGTAAGCTAATTCTTTACATTTCTGTGGGTGGCCAAGAGTAAGATTCAATGTCATTTCACAGATCAGGATTAAAAGAAGATTTTAGGCTGGGACAGTGGCTCATGCCTATAATCCCAACACTTTGGGAAGCCGAGGCAGGCGGATCACCTGAGGTCAGGAGTTTGAGACCAGCCTGGCCAATATGGTAAAACCCTGTCTGTACTAAAAAATACAAAAACTAGCCTGGTGTGGTGGTGTGTGCCTGTAATCCCAGCTACTTAGGAGGCTGAGGCAGGAGAGCCGCTTGAATCCAGAAGGCGGGCGTTGCAGTGAGCTGAGATCATGCCACTGCACTCCAGCCTGGGTGACAGAGGAAGACTCTGTCTCAAAAACCAAAAAATAAAAATAAAAATAAAAAATATAGGAAGATTTTAAAACTTCACTATCAGCCAAATAAACCTTAACAGCAGGGGAAAAAAAAGGTTGAAAATAATATACTTTATAATACAGTGTCTTTTCTTGTCTCCAGTTTGTGCTGTAAGTTATCTTCAAGGTATAAGCAAATGAAGAGTATCAATGTATATAATTTTTGGATATATAGTAAACCCATGTAAACAATGTAAAACCATATTGTATATGTGTTAACATTCAGGGCTTTAAAAAATATATGCTATGTACAAACCTGAAAATATTTGTCTGATTCATGGACAAATCACTCAAACAAACCATTTGCAGTCTTCATTTATTTATGCATTCAGCTCTCAGTTGTGGGCAGGTACAGAATGGCCATATAATCCAATACTGTAATACAAAGTGAAAAGTGATGTAATAGATGTTGTAATTTTATAGAATATCAGTCAACTCTAAAGCCCCCATTGGAGGTGTGGAATAATGGGGAAAGGCTTCTATTCTTAACATGCTTAAGGTTGTGTTTTAGATGAATAAGACATACACGTACACATATATACATCAAAACAAGTAATTCATAATTTTTGTTGCAAATCTATTACTCCTCTTACCAGAAAACTATATTTTCACATAAGAATTTGTCAGATCTCAAAAGCAAGATTGGAAATCATAGTGATCATTGTATATTTTAATATAGAATGAAAATAAATTTGACTTTGAGGTATAGTTGAAATGGAAATAAATCAGATATGAAATTAGATTGAATAAGTTCGAAGTGGTAATGAAAATAAGCCTTGTATGTATAAATTCAATAAAAGTATTTGTCTCCATACAGGCATAGCCAACATAGGTAGGAAGATTTTACAAAGGTATTATGGGGACAAGAGTTACTTTATTTTAAAGGCGAATCTGCCATGTAACTTCTAATTAACCCTGAGTTTGGGAATGCTTCCAAAATGGCTAGCTGATGTATTACTCTTTATGTAGAAACATCTACTTATTGTAGGTTTCCTCCAAAACAACGCTTGTCGTCACAGAAATCACAGGCTGTGACGCCCAAAACTGGCTTCCAGAGCATGTATGCTTTCTTCTCAAAATATAAGCCCTGGGTCTGGGGCTTAAAGTACAGAAATCTACCTATCTTGCGTATGCCCAAAACCACACTTCTGTCCGTAAGTTCCCCATAAGAAATTACCCAAAACCAACCAAGTGGATTTGTCCACCTCCTTCTTTAGTTTTTCATCTTCTTTGGTATTTAGGAGTTGCTTTGCCCTCTCAAGGAACAAGTAGAATCTTTAAATTATTTGGTGATGTTCATATTTCTTATTATTAAAGCAAAGCACTAGAAATACCTGACCAGACTCTCAGAATTCCCAAAATACAAAAGCTTGAGCCCAGATTAATAGTTCTTGACAGAGTTATACTTACAAGGGTCACTGCCACACGGCAGTTCAATACAACTTGTTCAAACCACACTCCATGAGATACAGCTGTGGTAAATATTAAGGAATAAATGAACTAGAGTTGGTAATGCTGTTACTTTGGTTATTCGATTCACCCAAGCTAATACAATTCTAGGTATAAAAGCCATTTTAATTGGGTGTGGTGGTACATGCTAGTAGTCCCAGTTACTTGGGAGACTGAGGGGAGTATTGCTTGAGTCCAGCAGTTCTAGTCTGTAGTGCCTGAAGCCCACTGGATGTCTGCACTAAGTCTGGCATCAATATGATGACCCTTGTGAGCAGGGAACAATCAGGTTGCCTGAGGAGGAGTGAACTGGCCTAGGTTGGAAACCTCTGTCAAAACTCGCCTGCTGATCAGTAGTGGGATGGCGCCTGTGAACAGCCCCTGCACCCCAGCCTGGGCAACATAACGAGACCCTGTCTCAAAAATAAATTAATTAATTAAATTAAGTTTCTTAAAGTCAGCTAAGCCAAAATATAACTGGGTTGAGAAAATGTCAGCAAAACTAGAATAATAGTTAATGTTTACATGTTAAGTACCTATGATATGCCAGGCACAGTCCTAAGTACTTTAGAAATATTGTCACATTTAATCCTCCCAATAACCTGATGTGGTAGTTACTGTTAAGTCTCCAACTTACATGTAAGAAAACAGAAACTTAGGAAAGTTAAACAAGTCACTCAATCTTACAAATGTGATCAATGGAGGAGCACAAGTGTCCAGAATCCTTACTCTTTCCCATTTTGCTGTTCTGCCTCTAACATATTGAACACAGCAACTGAAATTTGAACTAGGTATTGAAAGTTGAGTATGATTTTTCTGGTAGAGGAAAGGGAAAGGATGCTTTTCTCTGGCTGGAGGAGAGTGAGGAGCTGGTAAAGAGTCACAGAAGTGGGAGGGATTTTCTTCCAAGAGGAGCAAATACATGGTGCCTTGTGCATACAATGTGACAGTGCTGGAAGACGAGACTGGAAGGGACATTTGGGTCTAGTTTGCTAGGGCTCTTCTGCACTTAGGAATTTTGACTTGATCCTGAAGGCACTGGCTAATCAATGAAGGCTTGCATTTGGAGAATGAGAACTCAGATGTCAGGGTGGAGGGTGGATTGGATGCATATTAAGGAATAGTTCCTAATAATCCAGACGAGAGGTGATGGTGAACTAAACTAAGGCAGGAACTATCAAAGTAATAAAGATACAGACCTTGGAGGGGTAAAAGAAGATATATTCTCCCCAGCTTCCCCAGGCACACAGGTGCAAGCGCTTCAATGGGCTGCTGGGTAAATGCAAAAGTGGTAAGTGGTCACCAAGGAATGCTGTCCTGAGTTTTTCCACATCAATAATTTTTCTTGCTGTGAGTTCTTTACCAATCCAGATGGGGCATCATCACTTGTGACTTCAGAGGAAAGAGTAATTGTAAAATTCATTAAGCTTCTGAATGAAGATGTGTAATGTCTTCCAAGAAAATAATTAAACCACCATGGGGCAAAGACTCTCATCTGTATAATTTAAAGTTATGAAGTGGGTCATTGCTTAGTGTCTCAAATCTCATTTACATATAGCTAATTCATAATCATACTCCATCTGGCTAAAATTAGTCACATTATTCTGTGAGCCAAGAAAAATATTTGTCTCATTTTAGAGGTTTTATTATACAATCAAATGTAGTCTAATGTACATCTGAATTCTTTGTTCTTCTTTTCTTCTAATATTTGCATCTCACTAAAATGAAAAGAAAATGTAGAATATATGGCATATTCAATAAAAGTTCTCAGCTGGGTATGGTGACTCATGCCTGTAATCCCAGCACTCTGGGAAACCATGGGCAGATAGCTTGAGCCCAGGAGTTGGAGACTAGCCTAGGCAACATGACGAAACCCCGTCTCCACAAAATATTATACTATATATAATAATATATAAAATATTAATTATAATATATTATTAATAATATAGTAATATATAATTTATATATATTACACATGTCTATGTGATTCATTCTATATATTATTGGATAATGACTCTTGTGAGCAGGGGACAATCAGGTTGCCTGAGGAGGAGTGAACCGGCCAGGGTTGGAAACCTCTGTCAAACTCCATGCTGATCCTGTAGTTGGGATGGTTATATTTATATTTTATAGATATATAATGTAACTATATTACTATATAATATATATTATATATAAATACATAAATATGATATATAATATGTTATAATATAAATATATGTATTTTATATAGTTTTTCATATTTTCATATATATGAAAATTAGTCTGGTGGGAGGATCACCTGAGCCTGGGGAGGTCAAGGCTGCAGTGAGCTGTGATTGCGCCACTGCACTCCAGCTTGTATGACAAAGCAAGACTCTGTCTCAAAGTAATAATAATAATAAAAATAATTAAGTTTCTCATTTCAAAGAGCACAGAGCCCATAATAAAAGAGGGTTAAAATGGAATATTCCTACTTAAAAGACAGGGAAACCAAACAGATGTGTGCCAGGCTACCATGTGTTGAGGTGACCAAGTAAGACAACAAGCCAAACTGAAAATAACTATCAATTCATTGGTTGTGACAGTGCAGGCAAGAGTCAAAAGAGAAAGGCACTGGTTCCCTACTGTTTTTTCCCAATAGAACAGTGCCAGGCAATAGTCAAATGGAAGCACAGGTAAGGGAAATCATTTCATTTCCAAGGAGCCCCAAACAAAAGATTCCTGCTTTTTATGGACTTATAGGGCCATGGAAAGAAAGGGGGAGAAGGGCTAGGAGTGAAAAGGTCTGGAGTCAAAATGGATACAGCTGTCTCAGCCAAGGCCCACAATAACAAGGTCTCAGCAGAGGTGCCTGGGAAGTATCTCAAGAGAGGCCCCAGTCAAGAGGCTTCTGAATGGAGGTGCCTGAGCTGGAAATGCAGTTATGCATACTAGCACTGCAGCTCAAAGGAGCCTAAGTCCTCAACTGCAACTCCTTCCAGAAAACTACAATGCACTGGTGGTACAATAAGTTAGATGTGGGGAGAGCAGCTCCTCTTATGAGGCCTGCCATGCAACACCTTGTAATTGCCTATGGGAGGGCCTGAAATATCACACATGGGACTGAGTCCTGGACCCATGCTCCAAGAGTATCCATATCTGGTAATAAATAGAGGTGAATTCAGGTCCAGTATGCCAATCTGCCAAAAGCCATACATTGTGAATAAAGAGCGTAAGGGGATGTTTTGGTTTAATGTCAGGCAATTTCTAGGGGCACTGGCTATTTTGATTTTATATATCTGGGAAGCAAAGACCAAACATCAGACCCAGGGCTTGGGTACAGAAAAGAGAAATTGAAATTTTCTTTTTCATTTCCTAACTCTGCTGATTCCCTACCCATCAGACTTTGAAAAGAAAAATAAAGGAAAAAAGAATGGGGCTCTGAAAATATTTGACCTTCCTCAGTCCTGTCAGCATTCACTGTGTCAGTCTTCGCCACAGGAAAAGTAGGCAGTAGCACATGCTGTGTAATTTCAGAGCACTGGCAAGAGTCTCCCCCATCTGCCTTGGAGGCAACTCATAGCTCAGATATCTCTTAAACGTGTCCCCAATTTTCATTCTTATCACTTCTCACTTAGATTATTGTAATGGACTTCTGATTACTATCCCTGCCTCTGGTTTATTTCTCCCATCAGAATATCTGGGAAGCAATAAGAGATACAGAACTGGAACTTTTGGAAGTTAGTTGTGTAGAGGGGGTAATTGAAACCCATTAGGAAGGAACAAGCTCTCCTAGACAGGGGTGTAGCCTTAAAAACATATTTGACCTTTTTTTTTTTTTCTGAGATAGTGTCTTGCTTTGTCACCTAGGTTATAGTACAGTGGCGCAATCACGGCTCGCAGCAGCCACAACCTCCCAGGCTCAAGCAATCCTCCCACTTCAGCCTCCTGAGTAACTGGGACTACAGGCATGCACCACCATGCCACGCTAACTTTAAAAAAAAAAAATTGTAGAGATGGATTCTCACTATGTTGCCCAGGCTGGTCTCAAACTCCTGGACTCAAGGAATTCTCCTACCTTGGCCTTCCAAAGTGCTAGGATTACAGGCTTGAGCCACCACTCCTGCCAAAAAACATTTCCCTACTAGTGAATGAGGGGCATACCCATTTGTTTATTTGTTCAAAAATTAATCATTGTGAATATTTATTACTATACTCTAGGCATTAAAATATTCTACCTAGAAAATAATGACGGCAACGAGGTGGGGTTTTCAGCAATGGTTTCATATACGAGATGACATGTGAGAGGGAAGAAGAAAGGAGAAACGAAGAGGAAAGGAAATATGTGAGCATAAAGCATCCTGACATATTCAAAGTTTTGCAAGCATTTCTCTGTTTGGATATTGGGGATATCTTTTTTTTTTTTTTTTAAACAGTCTCGCTCTGTCGCCCAGGCTGGAGTGCAGTGGCCGGATCTCAGCTCACTGCAAGCTCCGCCTCCCGGGTTCACGCCATTCTCCTGCCTCAGCCTCCCGAGTAGCTGGGACTACAGGCGCCCGCCACCTCGCCCGGCTAGTTTTTTGTATTTTTTTAGTAGAGACGGGGTTTCACCGTGTTAGCCAGGATGGTCTCGATCTCCCGACCTCGTGATCCGCCCGTCTCGGCCTCCCAAAGTGCTGGGATTACAGGCTTGAGCCACCGCGCCCGGCCGGATATTGGGGATATCTTAATCCATTTCGTGCTGCTTCAACAGAGTATCAATAATAGTGGAGGACTTCAGCATCCTACTGACAGCACTAGACAGATCACTGAGCCAGAAAATCACCGAAGAAACTCTGGGCTTCAACTGGACTCTAGACCAAATGGACCTAATGGACATCTAAAGAACATCCTATCCAACAACCATAGAATATGCGTTCTTCTCATCTCTACATGGAACATTTTCCCAAATTGACTATATGTTTGGCTACAAAGCAAGTATCAATAATTTGTTTTAAAAAAACCTAAATCATATCAAGTGTCTTCTTAGATCACAGTGGAATAAAATTTGAAATCAATACCAAGAGGAACTTTCAAAACTACACAAACTTGGAAGCTAAACCACTTGCTCCTGAATGACTTTTGGGTAAACAATTAAATTGAAGCAAAAATTTTTAAAAATCATCAAAAGAAATAAAAATAAAGACACAATATACCAAAACCTCTGGGATAGAAGAAAAGCAGTCTTAAGTGGAAAGTTTATAGCATTACATGCTTACATCAAAAGATAGATCACAAATTAATAACCTAATGTCACACCTCAAGGAAGTAGAAAAACAAGAACAATTCAAAACCAAAGCTAGTGGAAGAAAAAAAATAAAGATGACAGAGGAACTAACTGAGATCAAGACCAAAAATATGACACAAAAGATAAACAAAACAAAAAGTTGGTGTTTTGAAAGGATAAGTAAAATTGATAGACTTCTAGTTAAACAAGAAAAAACAAGAGAAGATTCAAATAAGTGTAACCAAAAATGTGAAAAGTGGTATTACAACTGGTAACGCAGAAATACAAAAGATCCTCATAGAGTACTATGAACACCTTTATATACACAAGCTAGAAAACCTAGAGGAAATTGATATATTCCTGGAAACACACAACCCTCCAAGATTGAACCAGGAAGAAACAGAAATCCTGAACAGACCAACAATGAGTAATGAAATTGAATCAGTAATTTTAAAATTCTAACACAAAAAAAACCCCATCCAGGACCAGATGGATTCACAGCCGAATTCTACAAGATATAGAAAAAACCTGTATGTCCAAAAACAAATAAATGGATAAAGAAAATGTGGTATATAGACACAATGGAATATTATTCAGCCATAAAAAAGAATGAAATCTTGTCATCTGTGATGACGGAGATGAAACTGGAGGACATCATGTTAAGTGAAATAAGCCAGACACAGAAAGAGAAATACTGCAGGTTCATATGTGAAATCTTAAAAAAAAAAAAAAATTGGTATAATAGAAACAGCAGAACAGTGGTTACCACATACTGGGGAGAGAAATGAGGAAGGGAGGATAAGAGAGGTTGGCCAATGGATATAAAGTTATGATTAGATAGGAGGAACAAATTCTGATCATCTATTGCACAATAGGGTGAATACAATTAATAGTAAAATATCACATATTATAAAATAGCTAGAAGAGGGGCTTTTGAATGATCTCACCACAAAGAAATGATAAATACAAAAGGTGATACATTAACTACTCTAATTGGATCATTCTACAACATAAATAGGTATTGAAACATCAAAATAAACCTCATAAATATGTACAATAACAATATGTCAATTAAAACAATAAATTTAAATTTTTTAATAAAATAAAGAGGTGTGTGTGTGTGTGTGTGTGTGTGTGTGAACAAAAGCTCAAAGGCCAGGATTTT